AGGTGAGAAAGGCGTCGGTGCCATAGACTGTTCTGTTCAGTTGAGGCTCTGGACAGTAGACAGATGGAAATGGTGGATTGAACACTTTTCAGATCAATCGTGTACAGGTTCGATGTCCTGTTACACGTTAATAATAAGTTCCCTGTGGTGTCCAACACACAGCATTGTTTTGAGAAGAACCTCACTTCCATCCCACCGTCACAAAATTGTCATATGCTCAGCAAGTTATGTTTGAGCCCTTTGACATAAGAGACAACTTTAATGGTGACACTGGCACAGATGACATCCCCATAGCCAAGGATTGGAGATGAGGCGTCGTTCCCAAATCTGACATTTCCTCCAAAGCAGTTAGTGTAGTTGCTCAACAGGTGTTTTAGTCCGGTCATGTGGGTTGAGCATCCAGAATCTAAGTGCCACACATGACCCCCCTGCAAAAACGGTTAAGCAGATTTAGGTCCCCATATTGAAATGGGTCCTTCCTTATCAACAGTGAACACTCTTTTTAATTTCGCTTTAAGCTGTGATCCAAAGTCAGCAGCCTTCTCACCAAAAGATTTATCTTTTGTGGGCTCTGTTATAGCCAGTTCTGACTTTGTAGAACGTCTTCCCTTAGGAACCCACTTTTCAGTTTCGGTTTTAATGAGTCCGTTTTTGGGGACTGATACGTTTGTAATTTCCATACTTATGTTTGTGTTTTTAATTAGTTTTGCTTGATCTTTACTATGGAAATTACACACTTTTGGTGTAATAGATTAGTTTGTTAAATTCTTGTAAATAGGTTAGATTAGATATATTCTGAGCTCAAACAGGTATCGATCACTCGAAGTACAGTTGGTGAACCCAAAAAGTGGAAAAAAGGTGCAAAAGTTCAAAGACAAAAGAAGATCCTGAATTTTGGTCTATACTCGGTCGAGTATTAACTATACTCGATCGGGTATTAGGTTGGAACTTCAAATCGGATCAGATCCGAAGACAAGGGAACATGCCGGGAAGATTTCGGCCACGATTTTATGTCTATACCCGATCGGGTAGACCGACATACCCGATCGGGTATGCCTTTGAGTTTCAAACGAAGATCGGTCGAGTATGGTCCGAATACCATTTTCTATGCATACTCGACCGGGTATTAATATATACTCGATCGGGTATACTTATGGAAAATAGTCTGAAACCGGTCGAGTATACCTCGGACCGAGTGTTACACACGTACTCGATCGGGTACCATGTATATACCCGATCGAGTACCCGAATCCCATCCCAAAAGCCTATAAATACACCTCCTTTCCTTCACAAAAAGATATCCAATTCCTTTGTACATCTAAGCTCAGTATAGAATAGTTCTTTCTTTATATTTTTCATCATGTTTAGTCTCCAAATGAGGAGCTAAACTCTTCCATCTTGGTTTTGCTACTTTGAAGCTTAATTAATTTGTAAGTTGTGAGTTATTTTCTTTAATCTTCTTCCTTGAATATTAATTCTTTCTTTCAAAATACTATCTCTATATCAAAGTTGGGAATGTTACTAAGATGACAGTTAGTTAACATCTTGACATTGGTTATAGTAATAGCTATTTCTTCCTCTATGTTAATATTGGGGAGTGTTACTAAGATGACAATTAGTTAACATCTTGATAATAATCATAGTAGGATTCATATTCTTTAATATTCTCCCTTGAGTATTAATTAATTCCTATTCATATTTCATGTTAATATCTTAAACATTACTTAAAGTATCAACTAGTATTGTTTCTCATATTAATTATTACTAGAATCGATCGGTTAATACGCTTGTTATTAATCCGGTTCTTTCAACGGTAGTAAACTTGGAATATTAATGCATGCATCTCATGGTTAATATGCCAAGGGGAATTAATTATATTGATTAAACCAATAAACCGCTTGTGTTGAGGTTATCAATCTCAATCGTTTTCATCTTAAGTTTAATGCTACTATCAAGTTAATATACGGCGCTTGTTCTATATTGACTCGTAGTAAGTTTTATTAATGAACGCATCTCGTTATTAATAACTACCCTCGATGAACTGGATATACTCCTCGATTGAGTATTCGAGAGGAAGATAGTTAAAGATATAACCGGGATCGACGAACATTTCATTAAGTGGATAAAAGCAAAACCAAGCCTCCACATCTCATTGAATTAAACTCATATAGGTTGTTTATCTTAGTGTTTTTAAAGCAAACAAATCTAAACCCCCCTTTTGGTTACTATTTATATAAAAGAAAAGTATTCCTTTCCCTGTGGATATGAACCTTACTACACTATACTACGTATTAGTGATTGTATTGTATTTATTTTGAGTGCACCTAACGACAAGTGCACGTCAAATTTGGCGCCGTTGCCGGGGAAAGGCAATTAATTTTTCTTTTATTTCATATCAAGAAAATAAAAAATATATATATATCAAACAAAAATATAAAGAGTGTTTATTCTTCTATTTTCTGAGCTTAGTGGAGTTTATGGTTAAACATCGTTCCATAAACGAAATCACATATCACAAAAACCCAGAAATAGAACAAACTTTCGAGCGGTTGAAAAGTAAATTTTCTAACACCGACTCGGAAGAATCATCTTCCAGAGATTCATACACCGCTAGCTCTAGTTCTAGCGACACCGAAGAGCCAACCACAATGGCTCTTGAAACAAGAACGCTGAGGGAGCTCACAGCTCCAAACCTCAACCAACAACCACTGTGTATTACCTTCCCTACACTTGATGAGGGTAATACGTTTGAGCTAAAATATGGGCTCATTCATCTGCTGCCATCCTTCCATGGCCTGAGGGGAGAGGACCCGAACAAACATTTATCAGAGTTCCACGTCGTTTGCACAAGCATGTTCCCAAACGGTGTGACAGAAGAACAAATCAAACTGTGGGCGTTTCCATTTTCACTGAAGGATACCGCAAAGGATTGGCTATTCTATCTTCCTTCAGGAAGTATAGGTACATGGGCGGCCATGAAGAAAGCGTTCCTGGAAAGGTATTACCCTGCCTCTGTCTCATCCTCTCTAAAAAAACAAATTAGCAACGTGGAGCAGAAGGATGATGAACCGTTCTACAAATATTGGGAACGATTCAAGAAACTGTGTGCAAGCTGCCCTTATCATGGCTATTCGGAGCAAGACCTCATCTTATATTTCTATGATGGTCTTTGCAATGAAGATAGGCGGATGATAAACGCCGCATGTGGAGGAGGGATTGTCAACAAGACCTCTTCTCAAGCTATAAACCTCATCTCGGAGTTGGCCGAGAATTGTAGGCACTATGATCGGCGATCATCAAAACGAGTTATGGCGGCAGAATCCAATAACTCATTGGAAAGTCAAGTAGCCAGCTTGACTTCTTTGGTTAAAGATTTTCTCTTAAATCCGAAACCTCAAGAATTCAAGGTCTGCGGCATATGCTCGACACAAGGGCACCCCACCGACTCTTGCCCAACACTACAAGAGGAGAACGTCGAACAGATCAATGCTTTGGGTTTCCAAAATCAAAAGAGGTATAACCCTCAAAGCAACACCTATAATCCGGGATGGAGGGATCATCCTAATTTAAGGTACGGAAACTCTCAAACTCCTCAACCATCAAATCTTCCTCCTCCACAATATAAACAACAAGGCCAAACTTCAAACTCGAACATGTCAACCGAAGACATGATTCGATCACTCGCCATGAATATGGCAACAATGCCACAAAGTGTGGTTCAATTCCAAGAAACAACAAAATCCAGCATCCACAACTTGGAAAGCCAAAGCAGCCAAATCTCAAATGCCGTGAGTAGGCTTGAAGCTAAGGATTCGGCAAGGCTACCATCTCAAACGGAGCCGAATCCTAGGCAACAAGCCCATGCAGTCACATTACGGAGTGACAAGGAGTTGGTTATTGCCAAGGAGAAGGCAAAGAGCCACATTGGCGAAGAGGAGGAAGAAGAGGAGCTGACGGAAGTAACTTAACCGGAGGTGGAAGTTCAAATCCCAACCCACCACCGGTCATTCCCGAGATTGAAGCACCCTTCCCCGAGGCTCTAAGGGAAACACGAAAGCTGGAGAAAGACAAGGATATCTATGAGACATTCTCCAAATGTGAGGTAAATATCCCTCTCCTTAACTTGATAAAGGGTGTCCCTAGATTTGCAAATTTTTTCAAAGAACTATGTACAATAAATAGGAAACATAGACTCAATGGAAAACAAAAAGTCCAAGTTAGTGAACGTGTTTCGGCAGTTTTTCAAAAGAAACTCCCAAAGAAATACAATGATCCGGGCATGTTCACTATACCTTGCAAGTTGGGAGGAACTACGTTTTCAAAAGCCATGCTCGATTTAGGAGCATCAATTAATGTCATTCCTTACTCCTTATACAAATCACTTGAGCTTGGCCCTTTAAATGAAACCGGAGTAGTCATTCAACTTGTGAATAGATCAAATGCCTACCCTAAAGGTATTGTCGAAGACGTACTAGTTATGGTTGACAATTTGATTTTCCCCGCTGACTTTTATGTTTTGGAAATGGAGAATGATAAGAATGCGGTTCCTATCCTTTTAGAAAGGGCATTCTTGAAAACTGCTAGAGCAAAGATTGACGTATTTAGCGGCTCTTTAACAATGGAATTTGATGGGGATAAAGTTGAATTCAACATTTATGACTCCATGAAATATCCAAATGAAAATCATTCTTTATTTGCCATTGATATTGTTGACCCCCTTGTACAAAATACTTTTGAAATCGATAAAGAGGACGAATTGTTAAGTATACTTGATGTAAGGAATAATTGTAATTAGATTTTGATGATGCTATATTAATTAGGGCTTTAGAAGTACCCCTTTTAGAAATTATGTATTAGAATTTTCCTTTGTAAAATTCTTAGATGTATTCGACTTGACACAAGACCTTCAAGAGCAGAAGGGCTTCAAGAACAGAAGGGCTCCCAGAGCAGAAGTGCCTCTTAAGGCTTTATTGAATCAGAGGACCTTTGGTTCTCTACTCCAGAACAAAAAAAAAAAAAAAACAATTCCAGCCTGAAAAAGTTGAGAGCTTCTCTCTCATGGGAAAATTTTTCCCAGCTCTTTTGCGCGTACGAAGGCTGGTTCTCCGATGATTCGTGGGGTTTAATCAGGTGGTGATTCTTGCTGTTCTTGGTCAGGGGTCTTTACTAATACCATCGTCCAGACTTGGATTTGGTTTTAGAAGGATTACGGGGGCCAAAACAAATCGCAGAAACGAGGGTTTGAGCGCAGATTCACTGTTCACGTCGGCGGTGATTTGTGGTTTGTTTTTGGGTGTTTCTGTTGGGAACTTCATCTGATTACAGTTCCGTGCTCGCCTCTGTATTTAGACGTTAATCTGCGGCCATTCCATGACTTTTTGGTTCTTTTTATTCACATAATTTTTTGGAGCTCTGTTTCGTTTGATTTGCTGAGTCGTTTGGTTGTAGGTTCTGTTTAAGTTTGGGTTTCGAGTGTGGACTGTATCCCATATGGTTTGCTTTTGATTTTCCGAATTTCATAGTTAGGACCTACGATCTGGTTTCTTTTCGGAATTTTACTGTCATGTCTGGAAAAAAATCACAGGTTATTGGGGAAGCTACCAAGCCAAGGACCACCAGGGCAAGTTTCACAGTCCTGTAGGATTCTGATGCTGAATTCCCTGCCCTGCTGCCAGGACTCTCACTGAAGAAGACAAAAAAGGCAAATGCTGATGGAAAAAATGTTGCTGCTATTGAACTCCCACCTCCTGGGAAGGTTATACAATCTGGACAGAGAGCAATGACAATGGTTTTGGACCCAAACGCAGATGCTGCACAAAGTGGGGTTGTGACCAATGCTGAAATCAGGCCTGAAGGAATTACTGCTGGGGCAGTAAAGACTGGGGCAGTGGTTGTAGCACCTGCTGCTAAGGATACTGCTGCAGCAGTAAATGTAGGGGCTAAGACTACAAATCCCAAACCTTGGAGTGCTCTTTTTAAGGATAATCGGGACCCATCACATGGTATCAAACTGAGATACGTTCCTCCCAAAGGAGCAACTTTGGACTTTGGTGATCGCATTTTACCTTCCATGGTTGAAATGTGGGGTTTTTGCCTAGTAGGGCACTTTACTGGGAAATTCCCCGGACTCAAAGCAGTTCATGATCTTAGAGCTAAATGGGGTGTGAAATGTTTTGTGAAATCCCACAATAAGGGATGGGTAATCTTTAAATTCACAAATGAGGAGGATAGAATGAAAGTTCTTCATGATGGTCCTTATATGGTCTTTGGGAAACTCCTTATGCTCAAAGAACTTTCGGAAGACTTTTCTTTTGAAGATGAAGAGTTCCTCAAAGTGCCGATTTGGGTCAAATTCCCCAAACTACCAATGAAGCTATGGAACGATGAAGCTATGAGTGAGGTGGCATCCATGGTTGGAGTCCCCATAACTACGGACAAGATCACTAAAGAGAGGATGAATAATGAATATGCTAGAGTGCTTATCGAGGTTGATGTTTCAAAGCCACCGCCACTCTCTTTTCCTATACGACTACCTTCAAAAAAGGTATTCAATCAAAGTGTGCTTTACGAAACTTTTCCTAATTATTGTTTTCATTGCAAAGAATTTAGGCATCACCCATTTATTTGCAACAAGCTATCCAATTGTGGTGAGGGGGGAAGTAGGGGAAAGGATAAACAGGTTGTTGCTGTTGAGGAAATTGATGAAGTTGGGCTAACTTCTATCCGGGCAGAATCTGCCCTTCCAGCCTCGGAAGCTACTGCCATGCCGGCTTTGGAGCTTGCTGCCACTCCGAAGTTTGATGCCATATCTGAAATTCAGGGACCTACTGTTGACGTTGTTACATTAGATGAACCTGCTTTGACTCAAGCTGCTGCACCAGCTAATAATGATGCTGCCACGGCTATAACAAATGGTTTCGAAGCTTTAGGAAGGTTTGTGAGCAAGGAAAGTGAGTTGAAAAAAGATGATGTTGTCATTAAGTGTGAGATCATAGATGGTAAGACGTTTAAGTTTTTTGTCAAGCCGTTTAAAAACGTCCAAGCTAGTGTCACTAGAGTGGATAGATTTCTAAGGCTTACGGCTGATTTGGATAAGAGGGGCCTTACGTTCTCTGATCATTGTCTTGAGAAGTTGCCGGGGTTTACTATGAAGAAAGGGGAGGTTGACTTTGCCGCAAAGTTTACTAATCCTTTCCATGTCTTCTTTGGATGTTAAACTAGGGACTTTTTTGGTGAACTAGTTTTGTTGATTTTATTTGTTCCTAATCGGTTTTAGGTTCTGTTTGTTTGAATTTTGATGATCTCCATCTTGATGTTGTGGTATTCCTTTTTTCGGGATATGCACTTTTTTTGTAACATTGACTTGTTATTTCTTTGGGTGTTAATATATACTTACATTTCATCCAAAAAAAAATGCTCATTTAATGCACCCCATGCTACGTAGAGTAATTGCAGATGATTGGCCGGAATGTCAGGAATACTTTATCCCAAAATAGTAACCCGCCAACCTTACCGGGCTCTACTAGTCAAGTCAACTGATCGCTCATTTAATGCAGTTGTCCTTCTACTCCTCCAACGGGAAGACAACCTCAGTATAAAAGATACACTACGAAGAACAACCGGATAACTTTGCCTACATTATTTTGCTACAACTTTGCTAACCACAAGCAAGATATTCAAACTCTGTAAAGCAAATAGCCTCCTTGAGATTCAAACTCAATATCTTCTACAAGAGAAGGCAGAAGTTGGAAAAATACTCTTTCCAACTCAAGCAAAGTTCCAAGTGTTCTTCAACTCTTCAAGCTCATCACATACAAATATTTTGTAACGAAGCTAGTTGGAGGAACCTCAGTTTCAACAGAAACTCTTCTTGCTACAAGAAGGACGTCCAAATAACTGGAGTAGTGAAGTGGTGATACTTCAAGGAAACTCAGTGAAAGGACCAGTGTTAAAGGAAGCCAGGCAGTGCATCCCAGGACACATCTAGGCTTGAAGAAGACGTGGAGTGCTTCTTAAGTGCTAGGACTAAGGCTTTGTAAACGGCAGTTTTTACAGCTTAGTGGAACAGTGGATTAGAGGAACGAGTTGTTCCTTGAACCACTATAAAAATCCCTGGTGTCATTTACTTACTGCTTTTAATACTTGCACTTAGATAGAACTGTATAACTCCTTGGACTTGGTATCTGTGTTCAGCAGAACTGGTTCTACGAGTTAACAGAAGGCCTTCTGCCTTTGCTTCTCTGAGGCTAACAGAACTCCCTGCCAGAACCCCATCCGCTGCCAGTCTGTTCTTTCAACAGAACAGGCTATTCTGAAAATCTGGTACTTAGTTTAAAAAGCTAAAAACCAATACAGTCTATTCACCCCCCCCTCTAGACTGTATCCAGTATAACCGGGACCAACAAGTGGTATCAGAGCTTCCTTGTTCTAATAATCTTTTAGGTTATTTGTTGAACAAAGATCCACTTGTTTTTCTGTTTTACCTCATTTCTATCTGATATAATGGATCACTCCTTGTCCAAGAATCTTATGTTTTCAGATCTTAAGTTTGATGACTGGAGGATCCGGATGAAAGCACATCTCTGTGCCCTGCATGATGAGATGTGGGAAGTTCTAGATATTGGCCCCTTCACTAGCTTCCAGAAGGTCAACCCTGAACATGCCATAGACAATACCAGACCCCAGATGATTAGCAAAGCCAAGTCAGAATGGACCACTGAAGAGAGGAGAAAGTACAACTTAGACAATATTGCTAAGGACATCCTCTACAAATCCATTGATGATAGATACTTCAACAGAATCAAGAAGTGCAAGACTGCTAAGGAGATCTGGGATACTCTTGAGCTCATTGGAGCTGGTGATGAGCAGGAGAAGGACAACAAACTAACCATAGCCAAAAAGAAGTTTGATGACTTCAAACTTCTCCCTGGTGAAAGCATCTCCAAGATGTATGACAGGCTCCTCACTCTCACTGGAGAGATTTCTGAGCTTGGCAAGGATCTCACAACCAAGGAGATCAACCTGAAGGTGTTGAGGGGACTGCCCTCAGCATGGAAGATGAAAGTAGTTGCTGTCCAAGCCAGCAAGGATGTAAAGACTTATCCCACTGATAAGCTCATTTCAGATCTCAAAGCTCATGAGTTTGAAATGATTGAAGAGAAGGAAGATGTACCAGAAGAGAGGACCACTACAGCCCTCACTGCCAGCACATCTAAGGTAAATGATTTTGACCCTTCAGTACTTTTATCTGATGAATATATGGCTGCCTTTGCTAGAAGATTCAAAAAGTTTATGAAGAATCCCAAAGATGGAAGGAGTCCATCTTTCAACAGAAAGCCATACCAGAAGGTCAAATCAACAGAAAGCAGTGGAGAGCTTCTCTGTTACAACTGCAGACAACCTGGTCACTTCAAGGCTGATTGTCCCCATCCTAGAGTGTCCAAGAAGCAAGGACAGGATGGAGAAAAGAAGAAGTACGAGGACAACTCCAGAAGAAGAAAGGCACTTGTGACAGAACAGCTGGAGAAAGACCCTCTGTTAGAAACAGAATCCAGTTCTGACTCAGATTCTGATGAGGCCTTCTGTTGCCTTGATACTGAGACAGAAGACCTATGCCTCATGGCTCATTCTGATGATGAGGTAACCTCTACTTCTGAATCTAGTTTTTCTTCGGTAGGCTTAGCTTTTTATTCTGATTCAATGTCAGAATTTTGGGAAGAGTTTAAGGCCATACAAGCCACTTATTCTTCTGTAACAGAAGAAAACAGTAAGTTGAAAGCTGAAATTCTTGACTTAAAGAAGGAGGTTGAGATCAAAATCAACCTTCTAATTGAGGAAAGAGATCAACTGGAGGCTGAAAATGTTTCTCTTCTTAAGAGAATAAGAGAAATAGAGCCTCTCGAGATTAAGTACAAAGCTTACCAGAAGGCCCAGTCTTCCATGGAAAAGATTGTGCTTGATCAACAGATTGGCACTGGTTTTGGTCTTGGTTATGGCTCAACAGAATCAGGTGAGCCTTCTGTAATGCCTAGCACCAGAGTTGCTAAGGTAGATAAGGTCATAGAGCCACTGATCTCTAGCCCCATCTGTCAAGCTGGTGTATCTGGCACCAAGGTTGTTCATGAGGAAGTCACACCAGAAAAGGGTAAGATAAAGGTTCAACAGAAACCCTTTTTCAAAAATAATGAACCTGGCAGAAAACCTAACAACAGAAGAGGTTTTCAAAATAATAAAAATAAAAGACCATTCATTGACAGACAACCTCATGTCAATCATGCCAGAAATGATCACCAGAAAGGCAAATATCAAGAGAAAGTTAACTTCAGGCAGAAGAGGTTGGCTGGTCAACTTCAGAAGCCCAAAGTTAACCGTCCCTCTGCTCTTGATAGTATATGGGACTTCTTTCCAACAAAGAAAGCTATGCAAAAGTATGTAAACAGGAAGCATGACCCTCACAAGCATCTGCCCAAAGTGAATCACACTTCTGTCTACTACAACTACCAGGTGGACAATGGGTATCACCCACCAAGGTTTCACTTGATGAGACCAAAATGGTACCAACTACCCAGACTCCATGACCCCCCAGGACCCAGCATTGCTTGGGTACCTAAATCTTTCTTTTGATCTTGCAGGAACTGTGTGCTGGAGCCATCTCTGAACAAGAATGGTTTATTGATAGTGGATGCTCCAGGCACATGACAGGTGACAGAAGTTGCCTAACAGAGTTCCAGAAATGCAAAGGACCTAGAGTTACCTTTGGAGGTAATGACAAAGAAGGTCAAACAAAAGGAAGAGGAAAGCTGATCAAGAACCAGATAATCATTGATGATGTCTCATATGTCAAAGGACTAAAGTTCAATTTGTTGAGTGCTAGCCAATTCTGTGACAAAGGCTACACTGTTGAATTCACAAAGGACTTCTGCTATGTGAAGCATGAGACAACAAAGGAAGTGGTTCTTACAGCATCAAGGAAGAAGAACATCTATGTAGTTGATTGGAACACTGCAAAAGATGGAATTTGCCTGATAGCCAAAGGAGATTCAAAACTGAACTGGGACTGGCACAAAAAGCTCAACCATTTGAATTTCAAAACAATCAACAAACTGGCCAGAGAACACATTGTAGAAGGGCTACCAGACATTGTGTACAAGAAAGAGACCCTCTGCAGTGCATGTCAGAAAGGCAAACAAGTGAAGAATTCCTTCAAACCCATTGCTGGAGATCTATCTACAAGTCCTCTAAATCTGATTCACATGGATTTATTTGGACCTGTTGAGACTCCAAGCGTTGGTGGCAAGAAATATACTTTAGTCATGGTTGATGACTACTCGAGATACACATGGACTGTTTTTCTAACAAAGAAAAATGAAACTCTTCAGAAGTTGCCATCTCTGTTAAAGCAACTTCAGACTGAGAAGAACTTGAAAGTGAAGACAATCAGATCAGACAGAGGAACTGAATTTGTCAACCAAGTCATAAAGGACTTCTGTGATCAGAATGGAACTTTTCATCAACTTTCTGCCGCCAGAACCCCTCAACAGAATGGCGTAGCAGAAAGAAGGAACAGAACTCTAAAAGAAGCTGCAAGAACAATGATTGCAGAATCTGGATTGCCTATGAGATATTGGGCTGAAGCAATCAACACTGCATGCTATACTCAGAACCGAAGCATGATCAACAAGAATCACCAGAAGACCCCTTATGAACTCTGGAAGGGAAGAAAGCCAAACATCAGCTACTTTCATGTATTTGGATGCAAGTGCTACATTCTCAACAATGGAAAGGAGCATCTGAAGGTATTTCAAGAAAAGGCTGATGAAGGAGTCTTTATAGGTTATTCAAACACCAGTAAAGCCTATAGAGTACTCAACAGAAGAACCCTACATGTTGAAGAATCCATACATGTGAAGTTTGATGAAAGCACCTCTGTTGAAGAAGTAATAGAGATTCTCAAGGATGTCAGCATAGAAGACAGAACACCAGAACCAACAGAAGAGGTGGCAGACAATCCTGCATTTCCAACACCTGCACCAAACCCCCTTCTGTTGAATGAAGATGGAGACTCTGAAGATGATGAACCAGAGAGACCAAGACAGCAGCTGACAGAACCAGACCTAACATGGTTAAGAGACCATCCTCCTAACCAAGTGATTGGTCAAATCAGAAGTGGAGTTCAAACCAGATCCACATCAAGGAGAGAAGCAATGCTTGCCTGCTATATATCTCAGATGGAACCTATGACAGTTGAAGAAGCTCTTGCAGACTCAGATTGGATCAATGCTATGCAAGAAGAGCTCACTCAGTTTGAAAGGAACAATGTGTGGGAACTTGTTCCTAGGCCAAAACACCAGAATGTCATTAGAACCAAATGGGTATTCAAGAACAAAGCAGATGAAGACGGCAACATTGTAAGGA